ATTTGGCAGAATATCCTCCCCCCTGACACGCCCACCAAGACACGCCCACAGAAGGCTACTCCTACCAAGCCACGCCCACAGAGCCGGTAGTAAAAAAATGTGAATCCCATTTATTCATCCACCCGCATCTAAGTACCCATGTCACCTAACATCCATCCATTTTTTAATTTTTTTTATTGATTTTTGAAAACAAACAAAACATAAAACAAACAAAACATCTTTTTTTTGAAAGCAGCATAATCCCGGGTTACATCTCTTCGTACAGACACAACTTCAAGTTCATGCTCATTTTAACATCCATCCATTTTTCTGGTAAGGTGGAAGCAGGAAATGAGACTTAAAAGAGGTGAAGAAGCCTCTTGGAGAAGCTAAACTTCTTGAAAGAAAGAACAAACAGGAAGTCCAGTGGCCTCTTGAGGAGAAAAATAAAAAAAAAAGTCCCTTTGGGACAACCACGACTTGGAGGACTTTGAGAACCTCCGTCGACTTAATAGTGATTTTGCTTTATTCTGGCTGCCGTGGGCGCCCTCCTCCCCCTTTAGGCCCACGGGGACCCTCAATTCAGACTGAACAAAAGGAGATTGGTATCTGCTGTAATAATGATGTCACTGGACCCTTCCAGATTTGTAAAATGTGAAAAACAATATTTAAAAAAAAGACAAATTCACCCTCTTGTTTTTTCAGCCCAAATTCAGGGTAGCACAAACCTCCTTAGACTGACAAGATGCTTGCCTCCTTTTGTGTATGTTCCCCTCCTGCCCTGCCCCATTTGTCTTGGGGTCTTCTAATCCGGGGTGCTCCATGGGGTTGAATCAGCGGGAAGCCAGGGGGGGGGGGGGGGGGGGAGTCTTCAAGCTTGACAGCTTTAAGACTTGTGGACTTCAACTCCCAGAATTCCTCCTCTGGTCGTGGTAGCTCAGGAATTCTGGGAGTTGAAGTCCACAAGTCATAAACTGACCAAGCTTGAAGAGCCTTGGATTAGATAAGATAGACAGACAGACAGACAAGATAGGTAGGTAGATAGACATATTAGGTAGGTAGGCAGGTAAATAGGTAGATAAAGATGGAAGAAGAGAGACTGTAGATCAGGAGTCTTCCAACTTGGCAGCTTTAAGATTTGTGGACTTCCACTCCCAGAATTCCTCCTCCAGCCATGGTAGCTCAGGGATTTCTGGGGGTTGAAGTCCACGAGTCTTAAAACTTGCCAACTTGGAAGACCCTTGCAATAAATTTCCTATAAGGATCTTATTCAAAAAAAGAAAAGAAAAAACCCCATTCCTTTGTAACTAAAGGAGACAATACAAAATGAACACGCACCTTGCTCATACGCTAGTTGTATCTTTATTGTTTTCCACCTTGTGTACTAACATTTCAGTGGTGCAGTTACCACACACAAGAGTTTTAGATTAAGAGTATCTGCATTGCACACCTAAAGGCTATACAGCAAAATGGTTCCAAATTAGTACAAATACATGAAGTCTATTTACAGTTTGTATACCCAAGCTCCAAACATCATCAAGTTATATATTTACAAAATAAAACATGGGGTTTGCCAGGGAGGGAAGGGACGGAGTGGGTTTGGGACCAAAACAAAAAACCAAAAAAAAAAAAGGGTAGAAAACCAAATCGTTCACGTCAAAACGTGTTCTGGAATGGATTCCTTCCACCAGGAGGAGATTGGTTCCAAAAAAAATTGAGAATCCGGTCCAAAAGGCCACTTCAGTTGGGCAGGAAGAAAGGGGAAGGGGGGGGTATGTGAGTGGAATGGCAGGTCCTTGTTAAAAACAGAAACAAAAAATAAAATACATTTGCAAATATACAAAGGAGAGGATCCTAAGAGGAAAACTGCAAAGCACGAAGGATTTGGGTCAGGGGCATCCAATTGCGGCCACTTTGAAGACCTGTTGGACTGCAACTCCCAGAATTCCCCAGCCAGCCATGGCTGGCTGGGGAATTCTGGGAGTTGCAGTCCAACAGGTCTTCAAAATGGCCGCAATTGGATGCCCCAGATTTAGGTCGTAAATAAATAAGGAATTGGGCTGGGTCTTGCAAGCAGGTTGAAGTTCCGCCGATGCTCCGGGAAGCAGAGAAGAATCTAAAGCTTTCAAAATCCAGCCTTTCATTTCGGCCGGTCGTCTTCCGACATGCCTGGATGGATTTGAACCCCGCACCGAAGTGGCCCTTGGAGCCAAATAAAAAATAAAAATTAAAGTGTTTTCCTCCCTGTCTTTTCTCCCCTTTCCCCAGGGCTAGTGAGGAAGCATAGCGCGAAATACATTCCTGACCCTTTTCTAAAAAGCGCCAGGCAGGTGCTGGCCACCGACGAGGCAGGAGGAATGGTAGCGGAGAACTGTTTTCCCCGGACAAACTGAGGTCCTGTTTCGGATACATTCAAAGAAACTTTCAAGCAGCAGCAGTTAATGTTTTTGTTCCCAATATTCCCCTGTTATTTAAAAGCAGCATGTTAGAAATAATAATTTAAAACAAAAAAACAAAAAAACGACGCGAACAGAACAGGAAATTTATATTGTACCGTGTGATGCCTGGGCAGACAACAGGATTAATTCATGGCAGATCATACAAGAGGGAGAGAACAATGGGAGGTTGAGGTTTATGTACAAGGAAAGCGAGCACAAATACACATCCCTTTACACATGCACACACAAAAAAACACAAATTAAATAATTCCTACAGTGCATCGGACGAACAAAGCAGAAGAAAAGGAAAACGACTTTGCTTGGAAAAGAACCATTAGGAATTCGCTTGCTTCCTTGGCAGCCCTTTCTAACTTAACATCATTTAATGACCAAGGAGGGCACTGGGCACAAGAATTAAAAAAGTATGCTGTTCGTTTTGCAAAGACAGATAAGATATAAAGAAATAAAAGGATGAAATCGACTGACTCCGACTGAAAGATAGGAGCAGGTGATTCTGAGATTGCAGTCAGGGTAATAATAATCTTGGCTTCTCGGCTCCTGCCATTTAACTTGCAAACTCTGCAGAGGAGATGATGACGACGGTCCTTGCTTGGAGCTTCAGGGCCTGCGCAGAGGGTTGGCTGGCCCGTGGCAGCGGCCCTGCAGCTCCGGAGACCGGCCCAAAGAGCTGGCTGGCTCTAGGCCGCGTCGGCTGCTTAAAGCTTTCTACATCCAGCTTCTGCCGAAATTTAGCTTATTTCTTTTTTTAAAGCGAAGCACAGAGGCGGAGTTTCTTTCTCTGCTTTGCAGGAAAGCAGGGCTGGTTGAGTTTTAGGGTAGGTTAAGGACTTCCAAAGGAGAGCGGGGGGAAAAATAATCTTAATTCCCCTACATCCATTTTAAATCAACTGCCGCACAGGCAAATCCGGAGCATCTAAAATAAGCAACAGAAGGCGGCTTTAAGATTTACGCTGAACCTCTTGCTCACGTAAAGGTTGGCCCAAGCTGAGGTGGTGTGCCCTCCTGACTCCTTAATGCTCCTATAGAGCACGTTATATCATCCTTCCCTTGTTACCTAGGGAGTGGTTTTTCCAGAGCAAATTTTCCCACCAGCTTTGTTCCAAGCTCAACAAACAGTTACAGGAGTGTAGTAGACACACACTTGCCAAAAAAGGTTTCCTTTTCCAGCTTCAGACAAGATTCCTTCCACCATTTTGTAGCCCAAAGCTGGAGTGACAGTGGCTTCTTATGCACCAAAAAGAAAAACTCACACATCATTAAAGCCACTGCAAAATGTCACCAACCAGCACCTTTACAGTGTGTGTGTCTGTGTGTGTGCGTGCTAAGTAGTGTATCTGGTAGGAGATGAAATAATATCATAAGGTTGGGAGTCCCACTGTTAAGACTCCGTTTTAGTGCAATAAAACCCAAAGCAATCAAATCAAATACGTAAGTATGTTCCATTTTACTTCCTTTACAGGTCCCCTGTGTGGGGGGGAAAACCAGATTTTTGCCTTTCTCTGGACAGATCAGTGACTACCAAGGCTCCCTCTGGGCCCAAGTTTTGCAGAGATGCTAAAAACCAAAAGGAGAGAGAGACACACACAAACCTTTGTGTGTGTGTGTGTGCACGCGCGCTAGTTTAGAAAGCCCATGAGGTCACATTTTCCCTTGCCGGCCTGCAGGCAAAAGGCCGGGAGGAGCGCATCCACTTCCACCATGGAAAGAACGCCCTGATAAGCTAACCGAGAAAGGGGAAGGCTGGCTGGATTTCTTGGTAAGAAGGGAGCACAGAGGCAGGTCCCAAAAGCCAGACCCTGAAGGTCTGAAACCTGCTCATCCGAAACTGCCCCAAACGGTGAAAAGCTGCAGGCGGCCATCGCCGAGCCGAGACGGAAGGGCTGAATTGTTTCACCAGGCTGAAAGCCAAGCCTGGAGCCTACGTCCACCCTCCTTCCTCAGGGTGACCCGGTTCCTGAACCGGAGATCCCAAAGAATAAGACCCCCAAAGTAAATCAATAAAACACAAGATCCAGAGGGCCAGGCAACGGACGCTGGGGAAGGGGACGCCCCCAAGGAGAGGGCCGGAGCCATTCTTGGTGTGAAACACGAGCCTGGTTATCTCCAAGCCATCCAAGTTGGACGGACAAAAAAATATACTATAAAATAAAATATAAATCCTCGACATCCAGACAGAGACAAACACATCATAGAAGGAAGCGGAACAGGTGACATCGCTTGGGGTGAGGAAGCAAGGGCCCATAGAGGAGAGGAGGAGGAGGAAGAGGAGGAAGAGGAGGAGGGGGAGGAAGAAGAGGAGGAGGAGGAGGAGGAGGAAGAGGGGAGGAAAGGTTTTTTTTTTCTTTTAAACAAAAAAAGTCGTGCATATATAAATATGAAACAGCCCCCCACACACACTTTCTCCCCACTTAACCACATATTTTTTCTCTCTCCCTCCCGTCACTTCGTCTTCGGTTTGGCCACATGCGATTAGTAAGTGTTTTCAACACTTGAAAAGGGAAGAAAAAAACAAACAAACTTTAGAATAGTTTTTTTGTTTTTGTTTTTTAAAAAAAAGGGAGGGAGAAAGAGAGCGGGAGACGAGAGAGGAGAGGATGGAGGGAAAGTGCCGGACGTGAGCCAAGTTAAGCCACGGAGGGTGGGGGGTGGTGTTTACGTACAAGGGAAAGGGGGCGACTCAAGTTATCACAGAGAAAAATAAAACGAGAGGGGAGGGGAGGTTTTTATCTTAGAGCCAGAGATGGATTGGGCAAGAAAATAAAAAAATTGCGTGGAGAATTCCCCGTTCGGGGACCTTCAGTACTTCAGTTGTCCGGAGAGTCTTCGGGCGAGTTTGGACCTGCCAAGGAGAGAGAAGAGGGCAAGGGAAACGGAGTGAGAAGGGCGTGGAGGCAGAACACAACGCCACCAACGCAGGTGCGTGCGTCTCTCTCCTAACCTAAGTTTATCCTCTTCCTTGAGGTTTTTTTTTCCAACTCTCCCTGTTGCCGGGAAGCTAAAATTAAGGCTGGGGGAGAGAAATGCAGGATTTGGAATTTTTGTGCTTCCAAATTAAATAGATAGATAGATAGATAGATAGATAGATAGATAGATAGATAGATAGATAGATAGATAGATAGATACATAAAATAAATAAAAATCCAGTCTCTGCTCCTGCAGTAAACAAAATGAAAATAAGGGACTTCAACTCCCAGAATTCCCCAGGCTTTTCAACTTCCTCTTTGCTCATGAACATCCCTTTTTTCCCCCTCTCTCTCTAACCAATCCCCTCGCTTCTCGCCCATTTTGCAACACTTTCTCTGGAAAGAAACACGCCCACTTGATTTCCTTGCAGACCTGAAATTTCCACCAGCCCCTTCCCATGCCTCCCCCAGCCCCTTTTCCCTTACGAGAGGCTGTCGGCACATGCTGTGCCGTTTCAGGGTTTTCAGCCAGGTTTACGACGCCCTGCTCTGCTAACCGTCTGCAGGCCAAGAGGCCCCAGATCCGGCATCCCCGGCGTGTCCCTCTTACCGTATCGTGCCGGCAAGGAGGGGGTTGAAGGCGTACAGCCAGTCGCTCATGTCTTTGTCGTTCAGGGCTTGGAGGAGGACGCCACGGTGTCTGGTGCAGACGGCAAAGGTGTTTGGTGTCTAAATAAAAGGCAAAAAAAATAAAATAAAAATAAAAACGCGGCCGGCCTTTTAAGCAATTTTTCTAGTCTCCACGATTCCGTAAAGCAGAATTAGTTTGTCAACAAAAATCAGCTCGGCGGAAATCGTGAAGGTTTGAACATTCTTGGCCACGTTTTCGGAGAATTCGTGGTCCTTTCCTCCCCAAGGGAATCCTTCTTGATCGATACAGGGTTCAAAGGCCGTCTAACTACCGCAGTGGGATTTGGCGCCAAATAGGTGATCGTTTAAACATGAGCCAGCCCTGTGCAGCAGCCGCCAAAGAAGCTAATAAAACCCTTGGTTGTACAAATAGAGAGGTGCAGAATGAAAAACACATGAAGTATTTAATACCACTTCAGAAAGCAAGGGGTACGCCAGGAACACTGCATCCAGTTTTGGTCCCCACGTTCCGTTAAAAAAAGGATGTGGACCCTTTGGGAAAAGTGCAAAGAAGAGCAACTAAGATCGCGAAGGGGCTGGAGGCAAAAACCTATGAAGAACGGTTGCAGGATTTGGGATGCGGTGGCTGAGCTCGTCGATCAGAAAGGTCGGCAGTTTAGCGGTTCGAATCCCTAGCGCCACCTAATGGAGTGAGCTCCCGTTCCTGGTCCCAGCTTCTGCCATCCTAGCCGTTCGAAAGCATGTTAAAAATAATGCAGGTAGAAAAAATAGGGACCCCTTTGGTGGGAAGGGAACAGTGTTCCTTGCGCCTTTGCCGTTGAGTCCTGCCCTGGCCACATGACCACGGAGACGTCTTCGGACAGCGCTGGCTCTTTGGCTTTGTGACGGAGATGAGCAGCGCCCCCTAGAGCCGGAAACGACCAGCATGGATGTACGAGGGGAACCTTTTACCTTTAGTCTAGCAAAAAGAAGGACTGAAGGTACAGGATAGCAGTGATTCCAATATTTGAGTGGCTGCCCCACAAAAAAGAGAGACTCGAGCTATTCTCCAAAGCACCAGAAGGCAGGAGACAAGAAACAATGGATGGAAACTAATCCAGGATAGAAGCAACCTGGAATTAAGGAGAAATTTCCTAACAGTGGGGACAATTAACTAGTGGAACAGCTTTGCCTCCAGAAGCTGTGGGTGCTTCAACCCTGGAGGATTTTAAGAAGAGATTAAGACAGCCACCTGTCTGAAACAATATAGGCCTCCTGCCTAAGCAGGGGGTTGGACTAGAAGACCTCCAAGGTCCCTTCCAGCTCAATTCTGATCTATTTCCTCCCTCTATCTTCTGCACCACTGACCTTCACCATGGCCTGCTGATCTTCGCTGTATTCCACCTGAGCCGTGGACAGGTTGATGATCGCTCTTTCCACGGGGTCCTTGTCGCTATTGTAGATGAAGACATACGGGCGGCGCACCACCACAAAATGCTTGGCCCACGAAGGGGAGAGTGGCTCCTTGAAGTGAAGGTAGCCTTTCTTGGAGACCACGGACCTGGAAGCAGAGCCCGGCAAGGAACAGACCCATCAGGTTTTAGGGAGTCCGACTGGTTAAGAGCCCCAGGAAAACCGTCCCGCTTCCCAGGGGGAAGGAAAAGCTATGAATGGGAGGCTGAGATGAAGCAGCCCATCTTCAGAAGAGGGGGGAGGGCGGGCTTTTCTCCCGGTTGTTGAGTGGCACCTTCCTTCCCCTAAGGAAGATACTAACCCAGCTCGGATCTCCTCAATATCCGGGACGAGATTCAAAAACTCGTTTTTCCCGGCTCTTGCCAAGTAAGACACTTCAGCAGGGGGGGTCAGCTGGAACGGTTCTGCCTCCAGTCCAGGGCTAGAGGCCCGAGAATTTGCTTCGGGGGTTCTTGGGTTTAAAAGAAAGAAAGAAAGAAAGAAAAGAAAACAGTCCAAAATGAAAGAACGCGATGAATTTAAGTCAAGGCGCTGCCAAAGCAGAAAAACACTGACTTAGTTCACAAACGTTTCACGATCAGTTCACGAGCCAAAAATAAAGAAACCCCACACAACAATCAAGGTTATTTGGGGAGACCTTTGAGGTTATTTCTCTCTGCTCCTTATAAACCTGGATTAAGGGGTCCTTGGTGCCCTCTGAGATTGCTGGTTTTCTTGCGGACGTTTCATGACCCAACTAGGGAACATCATCAGCGCTAGAAGGGAGGGAGGTTGTAGAAGGGAGGAGAAGGGACGGAGGGGGAAAACGACTGCGGGGTTCTTAGTGTTTCTTGCAGGTGTTTCATGACCCAACTAGGGAACATCAACAGTGCTAGTATGGAGTGGATTTGCTGCCAGTTTATATTCTTTGGCAGTTTCTTGACTGGGGTATTGCTTACTAGACTGCTGGTCTGATGTTACATTCTCAGTAATAAAGAAACTGCCAAAGAGCCAGCAGTAAAAAGCCCAACCAAAGACTGACTAAGGCCACCCAATCAAGCCACCAAAATATAAGCTGACAGCAAACTGAAGTCCTTACTAATAAACATCTGCAAGGAAGCAACCGAGCTCAGAAAGGACCAAAGGATCCCTCATTTCAGCCCCGAGCTACAAACATTCGGCTTTATTGAAACCTGGGTTAAACTAGTGCACCCTCCCTCCCACTCCAAAAAACGGGCCTCCACCCGGAGGAGCGGGGCGGAGAGGGAGAGCTAACTTCTCCCCAGGCCAGAGAGATCGGGGGCTCTGCCGGGGGGACAGGAAGTCAGCTCAGCTTCACTCACTTCTGATCCACCGAGTTGTACCTCGAATCCGACAGTGAGGGGCAGGTGGTGGACGGGGTGAGGGTGGAGCTGCTGAAACTGGAGACTGAAGAATCCCGGCCGATTGGAGAGATGTCGGACAGCTGGAAGGAGGAGGCAGTAACCCTCAGCTCGGCCCTTGGGAGGGGAAAAGCTCCCGCTGCCCCGGGGGATTAAGGAGTTTGGCTTACCTTACAATCGCTGACGCTGTTGTAGACCTGGTTGAATTCGCGGTTGAACGAATGAGTAAGAAGCTGAAGGCACTGGAAAGGAAGGCGGGGGGTGTTAGGACGGAAGAAGTGGGCAAAAGGAAAGCTGGCTGGGGTGTTTTTATGGGAGTTGAAGTCCAGGCATCTTAAAAGTTGCCAAAGGCTGAGAAATACAGATCTAGGGGATCCCCCATTTGGGGGGGGGGGGAAGGGGGTGAGGGAGAAGGCAGGTTCGCATACCCTACCACCACACACACCCCCGGCGTCAAACCTGAAGTTGGCCTGACTGAGGCCACCTTTGAGGCTTCAAGTGTTGCCACAGCGGAGATGAGGGTTAGGGAAGAGGGAAATAAGAGAGAGCCGGGGGATTTTTAGCCAAAACAAAATATTTTCCCCTGGGAACCAAGGACATTCCAACAGGAGGCTGAAGGGAGGAGGAGTGATGTTACCAAGCAACTGGACAGCGCCCTGATTGGACCGTGTGACTGTCTGTTTGGGAAGAGGGGAAAACTTTTGACTTACTAGGTGAAAACCGCGGGAGCCTTCAGAGTCGGTGTTCACCGGCCTGGGCCAATATGATAGATCCAGTAGATTCCTTTGAGGAATCTACCCGACTCGGAGTTCTGTTTGTTAAGGGCGTTTTACTCGGAACCCCGACCCGTGGGCTCGGTACCTTGGTCGCTAGCTCCTTCTCCCGCTCCACTAGACTCTCGATGTCGGTCGAGTCGTAGCCGCTGCTCTCGCTGGGGGTGATGGCGCTCTCGAAGGTGGTGGAGGAGATCTGCGAGGAGATGCTGGTGGAGGTGCTGAGGGTGCTGCTGCTCAGGCTGTGGGAGAGCGAGTCGCTCAGGGACTTGGGGAGGCCGTCGCCCAGCTTCTCGCGCAGCAGCAGGAAGTGACGCGTCTTCTCCACCTGGACACCAAAGAGAAGAAACCGGGGAAGGTCCCCTCCTGGGACTTCGAAACGGGGATATCCTCCTCTGGCCACCTCACCCCTCCAAACTACGACAAGCATCGGGTTGGCGGGACTCAAATGGACCCAGCATGAAAGGAGATGGGCAGAAAAAGGGACAGGTTCCAACGGTGGTTTTTGTTTTTTTCCGCCCGCAAGAGGCCGCTAGATTTTCTTTGCTATTTCTTGGAAGACGTTTCGCTTCTCACCCCAAGAAGCCTCTTCAGCTCTGACTGGATGGTGGGCAAGAGAAAGATTTATGGATTTATTTGAGGCTCAGCTGGCTAAGATGCGGAGTTGTCCATCAGGAAGTTCGGGGGTTCGAATCCCTAGTGTTGCCGCGGAACGGAGTGAGCTCCCGTTACTTGTCTTAGCTTCTGCCAACCTAGCAGTTCGAAAGCATGTAAAACAAATGCAAGTCGAAAAATAGGGACCCCTATTTTTGGTGGGAAGGGAACAGCGCTCCGTGTGCCTTCGGGGTTTAGTCCTGCCGGCCACAAGACCACGGAGACGTCTTTGGACAGCGCTGTCTCTTCGGCTTTGTGATGGAGATGAGCAGTGCCCCCTACAGACGGAAACGACAAGCATGTATGTGCAAGGGGAACCTTTTGCCTTAGGATTTATTGACTTAAATCCTTCTTTTGGATTTATATGATGGATTTCTAGGTTTTATTTACTTAAATCCTTCCGTTCCCCACCATCCAGGCCGAGCTGAAGAAACGTCCTGGATGAGAAGCGAAATGTCTTCAAAGAAACACCCGAAAGTCCAGCGGCCTCGTATAAAAAAAAAAACACAACCACCTTTGGGACAAGAACAACTTAGAGGAATGAGAATCTCTGTAGACAAAGAGGGACTGGAAGAACGAAGAACGTCGGCAGCCTCAGGGAGATGTTTCTACAACAGGAAGAAACCAAGCGAAGGGATCCCAGCTCTCCTCACCTCATGCAGCAGTTCCATCTTCTCCAGCTCCCACTGGTGCTCCAGGATCAGGCTGTCTCCTCGGGGTCTCCACCCTGCCAGGTTCTCTTCCCCCCGGACGTAGGCCACGGAGGTATCCAGGATTTTCCGCCGCCTCCTCTGCATTCCTGAAATGTACAAACCGGATTCGGGTCTAGTCAGTTTCCAACGCGTCAGGAGGGAAGGCCACCACCTTCTCCCCTGTCAATCCAAAGAAAGGAAGTCCCGTTGGAAAAAGCACCCTTCGGGATAATAACCATGACCTGGATGACTGAGAATCTCCAGAGACAACAGGCAGAAATAAATTCACAAATTAACCCAGTTCAGGAAAAATAGCATGGAATAAAATGGGATTCTTTCTTTCTTTCTTTCTTTCTTTCTTTCTTTCTTTCTTTCTTTC